GTACTTTCTTTCAATGAAGCCATTTTTGCCCAAAGGCGTTAGATCACCAAGGGTCTATTGCCCAGCTAAGATCTGAAAGCCCCCCGCCCCAGAGAATGGTATGAAGGCAGTAAGAGCATTTCCTTGGCAAAGGGTCTGGGCAGGCCAGAGTCCCAAGACTCCTCCCATGACCTGGACACTGTCCCTTCACCCAAGGCTGAAGCAGGGAGGGAGGGGGAGGGGGAACCCCTACAGCCTCTGTGTGAATGCACTAAGGTAGAATGTGAGAGGAGGATGGAATCTAAGGAACTCAGGTCAAGGGAGCCCACGAGAGCCACTCACACACAGCGGAGACCGCCTTTGCATGCGCCCCTCTTACTGCCCATGGACAATCTCTGCAGACAAGACCCCATTCTTCCAGCTGATTCCCACCCCAGCCTGTCTTGGTGGAGAAGGTCTGCCAAGACTTTCCTCTAACAGATTTCCACCATTCTCAACAGAACAGGCTTCTCAGGATATGGTACAGGCCTGCTTTAGTCCAGTTTTAGTTACTGTAACAAAGTACCTGAGGCTGGATAATCTTATAAAGAAAAGAAGTCTATGACAGCTCACAGTTCTGGTCCACAGTCGAAAGGACCAACATGGGAGCGGTGCTGTCACACACAGACACAGGGGACGTGTGCGTGTGCCGCTGCTGAATTCCCCCTTTCTCCTCTGAAAGTCACCCGTATTCAATCATGGGGTCTCCACTGGGCTACTTAGTCCTAGTCACCACCCAAAGTCCCCACTTCTAAATGCGGAAGGCGATGGCCTGTCCTCGGGTGAACTCTGAGAGGACACGGGCTTCAGTGCCCCACGGTTCTGTCCTCAGTGCTCTGACCACCGAAGCCTGGTCCAGTGCTAAATGGGAGAGTCCGGGTTCTCATCTAAGATTCAGGCAAAGTCCTTGCGCCGGTGGCTGTAACTCAAAACTGATTTTCTATGTCCAGGGGCAGCCACAGGAGACATCGCTGTTAGCAATATTTTCCTTTTCTTCTTTTTTTGGAGGGTGGCCAGACCTGGGCCTTGAACTCTGGGCCTGAGTGCTGTCCCTAACCTCCTTTTGCTCAAGGCTAGTGCTCCACAGCCCGAGCTGCAGCTCCACTTCCAGTTTTTCTGTGATTAATTGGAGATAAGACTCGCAGGGGTCTCCTGCCTGGGCTGCCTCTGAACCTCAGTCCTCAGATCTCAGCCTCCTTTGTAGCTAGGATTACAGGCATGAGCCACTGGCTTCTGGCTTATATTTATTTTCCTTCCTCCAACCTCCCTCCCCTCCTTCCTTCCTTCCTTCCTTCTTCTTCTTTTTTTTTTTTTGCCAGTCCTGGGGCTTGAACTCAGGACCTGGATGCTGTCTCTGAGGCTTTTTTTTGCTCAAGGCTAGCACCCACCACTTGAGCCACAGCTCTACTTTGCCTTTGTTTGTTTCTTTCTTTCTTTCGCTCTCTATTCCTTCCTTCCTTTTTCACTCTGTCTCTGTCTCTGTCTCTGCCTCTCTCTCTCTCTCTTTCTTTGTTTTTGTTGTTGGTCATGGGGCTTGAACTCTGGGCCTGCTCTTCCTGAGCTCTTCAGCTCAAGCTGAGAGCTCTACCACTGGAGCCACAGCACCACTTCCGGCTTCCTGGTGGTCAATTGGAGATAAAGATAAAGAGTCTCGGAGTTCAGGCATCAGTGGTTCATGCCTGTAATCCTAGCTACTCAGGAGGCTGAGATCTGAGGATTGCAGTTCAAAGCCAGCCCGGGCAGGAAAGTCCAAAAGAGTCTTATCTCTAATAAATCACTCAGAAAACCGGAAGTGGCACTGTGTGGCTCAAGTGGTAGAGCGCTCGCCTTGAGCTGAAGAGCTGAGGGACAGTGCCCAGGCCCAGAGTTCAAGCCCAACAACCGACCAAAAAAATAAAATAAAAAGATAAAGAGTCTCAGGGACTTTCCTGCCCAGGCTGGCTTTGAACCACAGATCCTCAAATCTCAGCCTCCTGAGTAGCTAGGATGACAGGCTTGAGCCACCAGCACGGCCACGCTGGCTTTCTTTTGGTGGTTAATTAGAGATAAGAGTCTCATAGGCTTTCCTGCCCAGGCTGGCTTCCAACAGCAATCCTCAGATCTCAGCCTCCTGAGTAGCTGTTCTAATCTAGTAGCCATTCTAGTCTAAAGGGAGGACAAATGGAAATTGCAAAGAATAATCATCCCAAAGCAAGACTGCAATCTAGCAGGGTAGACATTAAACCCTAAAGCACTAAGCCTGGCATCTTGCTCACGCTGCGGTGTGGGGTGGGCTCCCAAGGCCTTAGCTCTGCTGGCGCAGGCTCCATGGTTACCCTCTCCCTTCCTCAGCTTTCCACCTGCTGCGGGCCCTGCACCTTCCGAGGGTCCCTCTGCTGCTCTCTCCCGTGGTTCCAGTGGGCATGTCCCCAGGGGGTGTTCTCTGCAGGGACTCTGACTCAGTGGCTTCCTCAGCCTGGCCTCCCAGGCTTTCCTCTGAACTCTCGAGGGAAGCCATCAGGCCGCCATAACGCTGGTGTTCTGCATGCCTGCGAGGTCAAAACCACACGGCTGCCAAAGTCTAGTACAGGCACGAGCTGCACCAGGTCGGCTTGACTGCAGGCCTCTTTCCAATTATCCTGATGTAAAAGCAACTCGCTGATGTGTGTCCATGCTAATCTCTTCGGCAAGCTGTTTCTCCGCCACGCCCTTCTATGCTTTTTTTCTTAGCTCCTTCCTTGGCCAGGCTTTGAATCGTCCAAAGCTTTCTTGAGTCTCACTGAAAATCTGACTCCAAACAGCCAAGTACGTCCACGCAGCAGCCTGAGCGCTTTGCTGTTCTGAAAGCTCCTCCACCAGGTAGACCAGTTCTTCACTTGTTCAGTGTGGCAGTTCTTCACTGGTTCAGTGTGGCTTCCGCAAAGCCCTAGGGCATGGACACAGTACAGCCAGGTTCTCCACTCCTTATAGCAAGGACAATGGATTTCCTTAGTCTGTCCTTCCTTTGAGCCCTTAGGGAATCATGGGTAATGCTGCACTCACAGTAGCAAACTCAAGACCACAGCATAGTCTCTTCTGTAGGCCTCCAGCCAGCCAACCGGCACTGCAGATTTGACTTTGCTACTCCACAATCTTTTTTTTTAACCAGTGCTGGGTCTGGCCTGCCCCCAAGCTTCTTTTGCCCAAGGCTAGCATTCTACCACTTGAGCCACAGTGTCAAGTTTATGGTGCCGAGGAATCGAACCCAGGGCTTCATGTGTGCTAAGCAAGCACTCTACCACGAAGCCACATCTCCCAGCCCGCAACTCCACAATCATGTAAACCAATTCCTTACAATCTGCCCCACTCTGCACACACCACACATACACACACATACACACACATGCACGCGCACACACATGCACATGCACACATGCATGCATGTGTTCACACACACTCTCTGTTCTGTACTTCTCTCTGTGTGGGCTGGTGTACAGGGTGCATTTGATGCCTGGAGCCATGGGGGTCCTGTTATGACATCATCTCTTAGCTCCCAACTGCAGACTTCTAGGCGTGACTTGCTGGCTCTTCTTGCTGAGTACTGTAGATCCAGTCCAGCTTCAAGGACTTGAGATGGCTCTTCCATTCTATCAGGACACTCATTCCAGCCCTCCCGCACTCCCTCCAAATCTGTCTGGCATGCCTGTCACTCCAGAAGATTCCCCTCTCCACAGTACCCCAGCCTTCTCCACCTCTCTTCCCTGTGGGCTTTTCTCCTTAGACTCTCGTGTACCTGACATGTGACGGTTGTTCCCCAGTCAGTGGGGGATGGGTTCCTGGCCCCTTGCAGATACCAAAATCCACATGTCCTCAAGTCCTTTATACAGGGGGGTGTGGTACTTGCAGATAACCTACACAGTCCTCTTTCTTTCTCTCTCTGTCTCCCTTCCTTCCTTTCTTCTTTCCTTCTTCCCTCCCTCCCTCCCTTCCTTTCTTTCTTCTTTCCTTCCTCCCTCCCCCACCCCCCACCCCACCAGCCCCTCAGTGCTGGAGCTTTGGACTCAGGGCCTTTCATTCTTGCTGGCTCTTTTGCTCAAGGCTAGTACTCTATCACTTGAGCCATGACCTTGGACTTTTTGCTAGTTAATTGGAGATAAGAAAGAGTGTCAAGGATTAGTCTGCCAAGGTTGGCTTTGAACCTCAGTCCTCAGGTCTCAGTCTCCTGAGTAGCTAGATTACGGTGTGAGCCACCAGCACCCAGCCCTCCTATGCTCTGAATCATCTCTGGATCATCTCATCTCTAAATTATTTAGAATACGTAATGCAATATAAATCCATGTACACACTAATTATTATACTATATTGTTCAGGAAATAAAGATAAGGAGAAAAGAGTTAAGTATTGGCAGGTTGTTGTGTTTTTTTCTCCCAGTCCTGGGGCTTGAACTCAGGGTCTGGGCTCTGTCCCCGAGCCTCTCTGTGCTCAAAGCTAGTACTCTCCCCAGTTGAGCCATAGCACCAGTTATGTGCTACTGAGGAATCGAACCCAGGGAGGGCTTCATGCATGTCAGGCAAGCACTCTACCACTCAGCCACATTCCCAGCCCTTGGCATTTTTTTCCCAAATATTTTCAACTTGAGACTGGCTGAGTTCCCAGAATCAGAACCCATGATGGAGGGCGGATGAAGGTGTGGTAGTTCTCACTTAGTTCCCTCTCATGGCCTCCTCGTGCACTGCTGGAAGGTCAGTTCCATGATTGTGCAGCTGAGAACCCCTCATGGCCGACAACAAAACCCTGTATACAGCAGGAGCCCAAGTACTCAGTCAGTCAATTATCCAGTCACTGAACAACAGACAGAGCCAGGAATCGGGGGCAGAAGAAGGCTGACCTGGAGGGAGGCGACTCTTCCTGCCCACGGCTTCCTCTCACGCAGGTATAGCACTGTCATGATTCCTTCCTTTGGGAACCCAGGACGCTAATCCATGCCAACAGCACCCCAACCATAACCAAATAGGCTCACATACCGAACGGGGGGAGTGGCTGGGCCTCTGAGGAGCAGGTGTCCCCGTCCTGGGTCCTCCTACCATAGGTGGCAGAGTAGATGTTGAGAAACTTGGATTCATGGCAGTGCAGTTTCAGTTCCTGGTCTTCACACACTGTTTTGTTTTTTAATTCATCTGGGTAGAAACAAAACCAGAAGCACCATCAGCTTCCCACAGAAGGAATGCGTGAGCCCCGTTCCAGCCACAGTCACTCCAGTAAGCCGAGACCTCAGCACAGCCCTGCCCTCTCAGGTCCCCCCAAAACAAGCGCTCCGCAGGAAGCAGGTGGCTCACCCTGTTTCGAATGGAGGGCAGGGAGGGACAGGGGACGGGACAGGCTGTTTAAGTCCTGGATGCCAACTTTTGTCACTTGTGTGTGGCTTCCTGACCAGGCAGGAAGTTTCTCTCCACATGAGGTCACAGATTGCTCAACTGACTTTTCTCAAATGCTAGCTTGGGACTCACACAGGTGAACTGCACCCAGTAAAACAGCCCCAGCCCTCTACCTGGCGCTTCCATTATGTGTTTAAACAGAGAGAAATGATACAAAAGCAAATTCCATCCTTTGCTAGGAAATGGACAGACTCAAGTGGGCAGAGAAATTTTAACAATGATTTTATTTTTAAAAATAATGTTCGCTAATATTAACTTCAGACACAGGCTTTGGATCATTTAATGCATATTATTTATAGTAGTCTCCCTCTGCAATAAGAGGTTCCAGTTTTTTTTCCTCTAAGATATAAGTCACTTGCGATCAAATCCAGTTGGAAAACATTAAGTGGAAAATTCCAGAGAGATAGACATAACTTTTATTACAGCAATTGTTACAGCTGTTCTATTTTATTATTGTGGCTGCTGATCTCTTACAGTGCCCAATGTATTAATTAAACTTCCTCATAGGTCTGTACATATTTTAAAAATCAATGCATGCTAAGGGTCTTGGAACATGTCCCCACAGATAAAAAGCACAGTGCAGTCACATGTTGCTTTACCACTGGATTCTATTCTAGGACATCTGTTGTTGGAATATTTTTCCTTTTTTAATTAGTGTCTTTAGGTAGTTGTATAAAGGAGTTGCCATTTCACAAAGCAGTTCATGAATACGATGGATCTTGATGAGGGTCACTCATTTCAACATCTTCACCCATCCCTCCCCTCTCCACCCCTCCCCTCATCTTCTTAATTTTGTTAGGCTATACAGTGAATTCTTGAGAACTTATTTTTTGTGCTCCAGTACTAGGGTTTGAACTTGGGGCCTGGGCGCTGTCTCTTAACATTTTTGCTCAAGGTTAGTGCTCTACCACTTGAGCTATAGCTCCACTTCCAGCTTCCTGATGGCTAACTGGAGATATGAGTCTCAGGAACTTCCTTTTTTTTTTTTTTTGGTCCAGTCGTGGGGCCTGAACTCTGGGCCTGGGCGCTGTCCCTCAGCTCTTCAGCTCAAGGCTAGCACTCTACCACTTGAGCCACAGCGCCACTTCCGGCTTTTTTCTTTTTACTTATGTGGTGCTGAGGAATCGAACCCAGGGCCTCAGGCATGCAAGGCAAGAGCTCTACCACTGAGCCAACTTCCCAGCCCTCAGGAACTTTCTTGCCTGGACTGGTTTTGAATGGTGATCCTGAGCTCTCAGTCTCCTGAGTATCTAGAATTACAGATGTGGCACCCAGCTGGGAATTTTTCCATGGTATGGAGATCTGCCATCTGTACAAATAATCTACAACCTGCATGCATGTTACTACACTGAATACTACAGCAATTATTACACACTGGTGAGCATTTCTCTACTTACACATAGCTACACACAAAAAGAGACCATGGAAATACTAGTGATAGGTATTTTCAGGTACTATATTCTTAAGGGACAACCATCTTAGATGTGGCCTCTGTTACTGACCAATATGTTGTTATGTAGTATCTGATCCTATGTAATTGACACAGCCAGAAAAGGCAAATCTTGAGAAGCAGAATATAGATTTGTGGTTTCCTGAGACAGAGGTGTGATCAAAGAGGGACAGCAAATGATCACAGGAAATCTTTGAGAAAATGGAATATTCTAGAGCTGGGCTGTGGTCATGGGTACACTGGTGAGTAAATTTACTATAGTCCTAAATTGTACATTTAAAATGGGCGAATGTGATACTATATAATAACTAATATTCATCAAGCACATTCTCTCCACCAGGAGCTTCCTCTGAGTTTTCACTGTATTAATGGATCTGATACCCAAACAGCCCTCTGGAAAGGTGTTTTCATCTCCTCTGCATATTTTGTGTTACATTTTCAAGAGCCATTTGGCTCTGGTGGCTCATGCCTGTAATACCAGCTACTTTGGAGGCTGAGAAATGAAGCTCATGGTTTGAAGCCAATCCTGGCAGAAAGTCCATAAGACACTTATCTCCAATTAACCAGCAAAAAGCCAGAAGTGGAGTAGTGGCTCAGATGGTAGAGCATTAGCCTTGCGTGGAGAAACTAAAAGACAGTGCTCAGGCCTTGAGTTCCAGCCCTAGTTTAAAAAACAAAAGAATAGCTTAAAATAACTTCAAAGGAGTAAAAAAAATGGAATACAAGGATGAACACAGTTCTGTTTTTAAAATTTCCTTCTAGTTGTATGTGCTATGTTGGGCTAATATGTCAGGTGCTTTTTTTTTTTTAACTGTGGTTTGCAACAGAAACCATTCAAACAACCCTCACCACGTGAGCCTTCCAAAGATGTCTGAGCAATGCACTGAGTCCCACCGCAGAAGCCTGGAATCAGTGATGTTCACATTCCAAATTGAAAACACGAAAGAAAAGAACCCCCAAGTAGAAACTAAGCAGTAATACCCAAAGTATCAATTAGACTTTCTCCACCTTTTCCGTCACTTTTAAGTTCCCGAGCCTCTCTACCCAAATCGGAACAGAAGCTGGACATGGTCACTCGCTTATGTCCTCCTAGCATCCGGGAGGCAGAAGCAGGAGGGCTGACGGTTCCAGGCCAGCCTCCGTGACACGGCGAGACCACGTTTCTCCTGGCTGGCAGGAGCTCCGGCCCTTGGACACATCGGCCAGGCGCCCTCTGTGGAAATGCCCTGGTTCACCTTGGACTTTCACTGTCTGGCAAATGGCTAAGATTTTATACGTATTCCCAAACCATGTTCCCAGCATCCTGCCACTGCAGACATGACTCACTGAAAAGAGTCAATCCTCTGAAAGCACAGTCAGATTTAGTGTTCTTTTTACTTGGAAAAAAGAAAACAAACTTTTCCTTGGCTCAGGGTTTAAGCAGTTATGCTGAGAATCTAGTGAGAAGGTAAAGGGCCCTCTTACCACCAAGTGACCTGTTTACTTTTTCTTGGGGCTACACTGGGGTTTGAACTCAGGGCTACAAGTTTGCTAACAGGCACTCTCTCACTCCTCCTATGCCTCTAGCCTTTTTACATTGGTTATTTTGAGATAGGGTCTTAGTTTATGCCCAGGCTGGCCCGGCCTGTGCTCTTCCTATTGTGCTTCCCAGCCATTGTGCTTCCCCCTGTAGCCGGGATAATAGGAGCATGCAACTGCACCCAGCCATTGGTTGAGATGGAGTCTTCTTGTAGCCTTTTATGCCTGGGCTGGCCTTGAATGGCATTCCCCTAATCTCTGCCTCCCAAGTAATTAGAATTGCAGGTGTGAGCCCATGTTCTTAGCTGTTCATTTATTTCATTTCTGCCTCTTATCAAATGATGAGAGAAGGCTAGGATGTTGTGAGCATAAATAGCCTAGTGTCTGCTCTGGGTCTTCAGTTAATCTTGAATTCCGATTCTGCATACAGTTATTCCCTCTTAGCCACGGGGAACATCCCAGCACCCCAGTAGGTGCCTAAAACTGTGGTTATTATTGGACTATATATTATATATATAGTTATATATATATATATATATATAATGTTTTTTCTATAATGTACAGACCCATTGTAAAGTCTAATTTGTGAGCTGGGCACTGGTAGCTAATCTCAGGGGGCTGAGACCTGAGGATCGCAGTTCAAAGCCAGCCCGGGCAGGAAAGTCCATGAGACTCTTACCTCCAATTAGTCACCAGAAAACTAGAAATGGTGATGTTGCTCAACGTGTTAGGGCACTAGCCTTGAGCAAAAGAGCTCAGGGACGGCGCCCAGGCTACGAGTTCAAGCACAACAACGGACAAAAAAAAAGTCTAATTTGTGACATTAACAACAGCTAATATTAAAATAGACAGTTATAACAAGGTATGCTATAAAATTGCTAACACCAATATGTACTGTGGTGACATTGTGAGGAATGAAGTAAGGCTGCTTTGAGCACAGGCCCCGGGATACCGTGACCTTCCATCTGATGATCAAGGTACTACCCAGTGACCGATGGGCAGGTAGCATACACAGCATAGAGACAGTGGGCTGAACCAAGAGATAAGTACCTTTCTGTGTGGGTCAGGACCCTATGACAAAAAATGTCTTCATACTGCTCAGAATAGAAAACTTACACTCACGAGTTACAACTGTAGAGTTAGTAGAAATTCTACTTTGAATTGTGTGTGTGGTGATTGGTTGATTGACACTGAATTTTGGATTTTGCTTGTTCCCAGCCTAGCTAGCCACATGCAGGACCATCCTTCCTCCCGGAATTATGTAGTGTCAGCCCCAGCTCTCAGCCAGCCATTCCATCACAAGGGCAAACATGTGCATGTGCTAATACGTAGGATGTGCAGCGGGTAGGTGTGTTAAATACATTAAGTTCTGATTTGTTTTTAAATCACTATGAACCCTGGGCTGGGAAGGTGGCTCAGTGGTAGAGTGCTTGCCTTGCATGCATGAGGCCCTGGGTTCGATTCCTCAGCACCACATAAGCAGAAAAAGCCAGAAGTGGCTCTGTGGCTCAAGTGGTAGGGCACTAGCGTTGAGCTGAAGAGTTCAGGGAAGCGCCCAGGCCCAGAGTTCAAGCCCCACAACCAACTAAAAAGAAAAAAAATCACTATGAACCCCAGGCTGCCTTCAAGCTCTTCATCTTCCTCTTTCAGCCTAGGAGGCTAGGATTAAATGTACAGTTGTACAGTATACTGCCATATACAATCTAAACATTGTTAATCCAACCATTGTAAGCCAGGTATAGCGTGTACACATTTGCATATCAGCAATGGCTTGGGCAGGGACCGTGATCTACCATGGTAGGAGTGTTTCATTCCTCGCACTGCTTACAATCACAGGTACATGGTGCTAGTAAGGTGCAGACAGACACTTGGTCACTAGTATCATGGTTTTAAACTCTAACGGACAAGTGTCTGCAGTGAGAACAGACCACATCCTCCCTCTAGTCACATGTTTTTAGAGGAATTATTTCCATCTGCTATTGAACCATCGCTACCCACGACTGAGCTCTCCTCCAGATATGCCCTCTGCTACGCCTCTTACACACAACACCATGGGCTCATTGTCTTCACGGCAGCCTGTGTGGAAAGGACATTATCTCTGTTTTACAACTGAGCTGTGCAGCCTTAGAAGGTGTCTCTCCATTGCCCGAGGTTCCACAGCAGCCTGTAGAGGCAATGGACACAAGTCCTGAACTGTCTGCGTCCAGGAAGCCCAACTCCCTGAAGTAGCAAAATTGGGGTAAGAGGCAAAGATGAGACACCTTAGTGGGGGAAAAAAGGTTCTTATCAGATTTGCTGGTAAACTAGCCTTCTCCAAAACCAACCGCCCGACCCTGATTTGTAGTGTTTGCAAATTTCCTGGGTGCATAAACTCCTATCATGGTGGGTTTCACGGAACACAAGAAGAGGGACACAGTTGTTCTGTAGTCCACTAAGTGGGCAGCACGCTGGTCATACAGGAGCTGGAACTGGGAAAATAAGGGAGACGACCCTCAGGAGAAGCAGCTAGGGGATAGAACACCTCCCTCGGACCTCCCTAACTGCTGGGTCTCAGTCTACCGAGGAGCAGGTTATGCAGAGGCTCTGCCTCTCATCTACAAGACAGCCTCACACACAGCCCTGTGTGATCCAGCCTGAAGACAGACCCTGAGCCCTTCCTTGGCAACAAGAGCCCTGGATCCTGCTCCAGCCCTGCAGCCATGCTCCCTTCTTACTTGCTTGGCTCTAATCTCTCCTCTCCTTCACTGGCCAGATCATACCACCCATCCCCCACAGCCACCGGATTCGGTATAGGCCACTCTTTCCTGGTCCTGCCCATCGCCATCTCTGAGTTCTCAACCCATCATCACTTGCTCTGCAGATCCTTGCCAAATCTTCTGCAGTAGCCAGTTCCTCCTGCAAAGCTACCTGCATGGGGGCATTGGCCTCTGAACGGAAGACTTAGCCTTATTTGGAAACTTGCACACATTTCTGTGATTTACCAAAGAATCTCTCTCTCTCTCTCTCTCACACACACACACACACACACACAGAGCTGTAAGCTCTGGTTACTCTGCATAGTACTTAAACACACTGAACACGCCTGGTTGGGGATTGTAATGGTGAAAGGCCACGCCACCTTCTTGGTGCTCACATTTTCATCGTGTGCATTCACATGTGTGTGCATGTAGAAAAATTAGCACACAAGTCACCAATGAACAAGGAAAATCCCAATGGTGATACTGTACAGTCGGTATCAAATAAGTACTTTCTGAAACGAAATTGAAAAAAAAAACCAGACTACACTGTACAACATGCCATGGTGGCGGCCTGGAGTAAACCCCAAGGCAAGCATTCCGAGGGTGGAAACGCACTCCAGCTCCCGTGGGAATAAGCTTAATCTAACTATGGCTCAGGCCAGCATTCCCTTTGGCTTCTCTCAGTCTGCAAGAACCATACAGTCACTGAAGACAAACCAGTCTCCGCTGATGATGGGTTAATGATAAAAACCAGTGTGGGCTGGGAAGGTGGCTCAGCGGTAGAGCGCTTGCCTTTCATGCTCCAGGCCCTGGGTTCGATTCCTCAGTACCACATAAGTAAAAAGAAAAAAGCCGGAAGTGGCACTGTGGCTCAAGTGGTAGAGCACTAGCCTTGAGCTGAAGAGCTGAGGGACAGTGCCCAGGCCCAGAGTTC